AAATACTTTCATGTATTACATGCTTTGGTCGTCATATTAATCTTGTGGAACATCTGTGACAGGTTTCCTCCCTCTCATTTTACAGATAAGAAAAATAAGGCTCAGAGAGAATGATTTAAAAAAAAATTCACTTTTTATTATTTTTTATTTTTTAATTTAAATATTTTATTGTTGTTCTATTACAGTTGTCTCATTTGCTCTCAGCCCATGAGAGAACCCCATTTGCTCTTGTCCACCCAGCCCATGCCTCGCTCCCACAGTCACTCCCCACCCTGATGTCCCTGTCCATGGCTCCTTTATACATGTTCCTTGACTAGGCCCTTCCCCTTCTTTCCACCCTTATCCGCCCCCCCCGCCCCCCGTCACTGTTAGTCTGTTCTTGTTTTCAGGCCTCTGATTCTATTTTGCTCTTTTGTTTGTTTTGTTTATTAGGTTCCACTTATAGGTGAGATCATATGTTATTTGTCTTTCATCACTTGGCTTATTTTCCTTAGCATAATATTCTCCAGTTCCATCCATGCTGTTGCAAAATGTAGAAGTACCTTCTTTCTTTCTGCTGTGTAGATATTCCATTGTGTAAATGTACCACAGTTTTTTGATCACTTAGATTGCTTCCAGCCCTTGGCTATTGTAAGTAGTACTGTTATGAACATAGGTTCATAGGTGCATAGGTTCCTTTGAATTGATGTTATAGGATTCTTAGGGTATAAACCCAGCAGTGGAATTGCTGGGACAAAAGGCATTTCCATTTTAGTTTTTTGAGGAAATTTCATACTGTTTTCCACAGTGGCTGCGCCAGTCTGCATTCCTACCAACAAGTGTACTAGGGTTCCCTTTTCTCCACATCCTCCCCAGCACTTGTTGATTTGTTAATGATGGCCATTCTGATCGGTGTCAAGCAGTATCTCTTTGTGGTCTAAATTTGCATCTCTCTGATGGCTAATGATGTTGGGCATCCTTTCACAGGCCTATGGGCCCTCTGTATGTTCTCCTTGGAGAAGTGTCTGTTCAGGTCCTTTGCCCATTTTTTAACTGGGTTGTTTGTCTTCCTGGTGTTGAGTGGTATGAGTTCTTTATATGTTTTGGAGATCAAACCCTTGACCAAGGTAACATTGGCAAAAATATTTTCCCATATGTCTCATATGGTTGGATCACTTTTCATTTTGATGATGCTTTCTTTAGCAATGCAGATACTTTTTAATTTGCTGTAGTACCATTTGTTTATTTTTTCCTTTATCTTCATTGCCTTAGAAGATAAATCAGCAAAAATATTGCTGCATCAAATATCTGAAAGTTTACTGCCTATGTTTTCCTCTTGGATTTTTATGGCATCACAAGTTATATTTAAGCCTTTTGTTCCCCTTAAGTTTATTCTGGTGTATAGTGTAAGTTCATGGTCTAGTTTCATTTTTTTTCATGTAGCTGTCCAGATCTCCCAACACCATTTATTAAAGAGGCTACTTTTACTACATTTTATACTGCTGCCCTCTTTGTCAAATATTAATTGACCATGGAGACAAGAGTTTATTTCTGGCTCTCTACTCTGTTCCACTGATCTATGTGTCTGTTCTTGTGCCAGTACCAGACTGTTTTGGTTACAGTGGCTTTGCAATATAGTTTGATGTCAGATATTGTGATCTCTCCTACTTTGTTCTTCTTTCTCAAGATTGCTGAGGTATTTGGGGTTGTTTTTGGTTCCATATAGCTTTTTGAAATATTTGTTCTAGGTCTGTGAAATATGCCATTGATATTTTAATAGGGATTGTGTTGAATCTATAAATTGCTTTGGGTAGTATGGACATTTTAATGATGTTAATTCTTCCAATCCATGAACACACTATATGCCTCCATTTATTTGTATCTTCCTTAATTTCATTCCTCAGTGTTCTGTAGTTTTCTGAGTACAGGTCTTTTACCTCTTTGGTTAAATTTATTCCTAGGTATTTTATTTTTCTTCTTGCTATAGTAAATGGGATTTTCCCCCCTAGTTTCTGTTTCTGCTATTTCATGTTTGTACACAAAAATGCCTTTGATTTCTGAATATTGACTTTGTAACCTACTATTTTGCCAAATTCACTTATTAGGTCAAGTAGTTTTTTGGTGGAGACTATAGGTTTCCCTGTGTCCACTATCATGTCATCTTCAAATAATGACAGTTTTACTTCCTCCTTTCTAATTTGGATGCTATTTATTTCTTTTTATTTTCTGATCACTGGCTAGAACTTCAAATATTATGTTGGACAAAAGTGGTGAAAGCGGACACTCTTGTCTTGTTCCTGATCTTAAGGGGAAAGCTTTTAGGTTTTGCCCATTGAGTATGACGTTGGCTGTAGGTTTCTCATTTATAGCCTTTATTATGTTGAGGTATGATCCCTATACTCCCACTTTGTTGAGTGTTTTTATCATAAATGAGTGCTGTATTTTATCAAATGCTTTTTCAGCATCTACTGATATGATCATGTGATTTTTGTCTTTCCTTTTGTTTATGTGCTGTATTACATTTATTGATTTACAAATATTGTACCATCCTTGCATCCCTAGGATGAATCCCACTTCATTATGGTGTATGATCTTATTAATGTATTGCTGGACCTGGATTGCCAATATTTTATTGAGGATTTTAGCATCTATGTTTATCAGAGATATTGGCCTGAAGTTTTCTTTTTTTGTTATGTCTTGGTTTTGGAATTACGGTAATACTGGCCTCGTAAAAAGAGTTTGGGAGTCTTCCATCTTCTTGAATTTTTGAAATAGTTTGAGAAGGAAGAGTTAGTTCTTCTTTAAATGTTTGGTAAAATTCACCTATGAAGCTTGTTTGCTCCATGGTTTTTGTGTGCCTGGAGTTTTTTGATTGCTGCTTCAATTTCATTAATTGTTATCAGTCTGTACAGGCTTGCTGCTTCTTCTTGACTGGGTTTTGGAATCTTGTATATTTCTAGAAATTTGTCTATTTTGCGCAGGTTGTCAAATTTATTGGCATATAATTGTTCGTGGTAATTTCTTACAATCCTTTGTATTTCTGCGGTATCATTTGTAATTTCTCCTCTTTCACTTTTGATTTTGTTTATTTGAGTCCTCTCTTTTTCTTCATGAGTCTGGTTAAAGGCTTGTTAATTTTGTTTATCTTTTCAGAGGGCCAGCTCCTGAATTTATTGATACTTTGGATTGTCCTTTTCATCTCTATGTCATTTAATTCTGCTCTGATCTTGATTATTTCTTTCCTTCTACTTACTCTGGGCTTGGTTTGTTGTTGTTCTTCCAGTTCTTGTAGATGTAGGGTTAGGTTGTTTATTTGAGATTTTTCTATCTTTTTTAGGTAGGTCTGTACTGCTATTAACTTCCCTCTCAGGATTGCCTTCGCTGTGTCCCATAGGTTTTGGGCTGTTGGGTGTTCATTTTCATTGTTTCCAGAAACTTTTTGATTTGTTCCTTGATCTCATTGTTAACCCATTCATTATTTAATACAAAATGTTTTTTTCAAAGACTTTATTTATCTATTTTTAGAGAAAGGAGAAGGGAGGGTAAAAGAGAGAGAGTGAAAAACATCAATGTGTGGTCGCCTCTCACGCACCGTCAACTAGAGACCTGGCCTGCAACCCAGGCATGTGCCCTGACTGGGGATCAAACTGGCAACCCATTGGGTTGGCAGGCTGTCACTGAAGCCACTGAGCCACACCAGCCAGTGTGAAATTGTCTTTTTTTGATAGAGGGTCACCTAAGAAGTCTTCTGATAGCTCTTTTAATTAGTATCATATGACACTAATGACAAAAGAATTTTGGAAAATTGAATCCTAATTTACTCTTATTTGGCTGTGACAGTCTCAACAATTCATAAATGTTATCCAGATTCTGCAAATCTGAAAGATTGTGACCAATAAATCTAAAGCCTCTAGTAAATCCTTAACCACCTGAAAAACTTAACATGGAATATATATATTTCATAGGTATGTATTTGGGTTTGTTCCATACTGATGGGGTTGACTCTAATATCCTGAGATATGTTTTTAAACCTGTCTATCCTTATCTTTTGTCTGTGGGGCCTTAGTGTAGTTTGTATTAATCTCTCTCACTTCTCCCACTCTGAGTGAAGGGTAATGGTCCGGGTCAGCAATTTTTCACCGTTGTGCCACAAGAATGTTTAAAACATGGAATATCTGACTATGTAGGGACACTGACATTTTCTCTCTTAGATTATCAAATAAAAAAAATGATAACAGCCAACACAATAATAACCGCCTGGCATGAATGAATACAAATTGTACCTATTTTTTTTTTGTAAGATGGGCAAAATATATATTTTTGTGTGTGCCACAGAATTTTAGTGTACCATGAGATAAAAAAGGAGGAAAATTGCTGGTCTAGGTTATAAATTTAAATCAGATTAAATTCTCCACTTTAGGTTGACTGTCCACTTAAGTTAGACTATCACCGTTAATGATAACTTTTATCACTGTCATTTCTTACTCTCAGACATACCAAAATTAATAATTAAACTCCATAATCACTAGCTTTGTATAGAAGTAGCCTGAGGATAAACAATATGATTTATAATTCTTTGTTTCTGCTTTTAGATGATCAAAAATATTTGCACATTGAAATTAAATTTGTAGCTCTTACAGGAGATAATAAGTCATTGGGTAGTTGTGAAGAAATCAGAAAATTCCTTTCCATTGATGGCTATCCACCCTTATGACTTCGGCACCGGCTACTTCCAAAGAAGGTCCTAGATCTGAGTGTCATCCTAGGGTCCTGGGGTCATGTAGTTCTTGAAAATGACTACCTTTCTTCCTTCCCCCCAAAAGAAAAAGTCAGTTTTTCAAATATTTTTTAATATACATATCTTCTATATCCAAGATGGCATAATGTTACATTTCAAAGACAAATCATCCATTTAATCATTCTTTTTCAGAAGTCAGTATTCTCTAGGAAGGATATATTTTCTGAAATTTCAAGAAATTTTTTAGTTAACTAAGAATTAACATCTTCTGATATTCTCCAAGTGTGTCTCAATTTTTTCCATAACATGATCAATGAAAAAAGACTGATGTGTAGGACCACATTTAAGGTGGTTTAGTTGAAAAAAAAAATTCAGCTTATTGAATTCCTGAAAGAAAAGAAAACATTTTTTAAGTTAGGTAAAATCATATTGAATTTAAATAGTTTTACATGACATCATTATCTTTTCTGGGAGCAAGAGTATCAGTATCAAATCATTCTTTTTTTACTCCAGGGACATTTGGTTCTAGACATCCACACTTATTAAACTATTATCTTTGGTTGTTAGTGCTAGAAGAGGTTAATTTTGCAGCATTTCTTAAGTTCCACCGGCAGAGAATGGCTCCTGGGGTCCTCTCGGTGCTAATTCCAATGTGTTGCTAGCAGCCACTTGTAACAGGAGGTTAGGGAGGTTCTGAGGCTTAGCAAGTAGAAAAAGAGGATCGTGATTGACTGCGCCCGCTGGGGGCTTGGGTGTGTTTGAGATGGGAAAAGAGGGTGCAGTCTGTTTCCAAGTATTTCCAGCTCTGACCTAAGATGGAAAGTGTTATACCAGCAATTAAATGTTTTCTTTCTAGGTTGAGCCGATAAGGGTGGCAGCCCAGTAAAAATATTCCCTCACGTTGCTGCAGTCCGCTCTCAGTACAGGGGCTCCCTGGCTTTGTTGAGATCTGTATTCGTCAAGGCAGAAGTCCTCTCTCCCGCTCTGCAGCTGCCTTTCCTGACCCAGGGGCGTTTTCCTAGAGGGCAAACTCACCATTTGGGGCCCCTGTGGTGGTTCCCTCAGGAACGTTTGCCCCCCTTTGGATGCCTGCAGGGGTGGTCACTTCAAAGTCGTCGTCTGTGTCTGTGCCGCTGGTAGTCGCGAAGGGGCTCTCGGTTCCCTGGAGGGCAGGATTTACTCCTGCTTGTCCTGCAGGAAGGACTCTGTTTTGGACGTCCGGGTTAGCCTGGCCGGTGGGCAGGATGGCTCCGGGGAACAAGGGCTGGAAGAGGAGGCCTGTGAAGATGTGCGGCGCCACTGGCTGGAACAAGGGAGGGAAACAGAAAACAGAGTTAGAGGAATACATTTCGAAGGCTAGTCAAACAGCCTCTCTTCTCAGAGGGTAGCAAGCTGGGGTAGGAATGGTAGGATGGAGAAGGTAGAGTCAGAGAAAACAATCAAGATGAGGCATTCCTCATCTTTAGGAAATAACTTCCTCCCTGAGCCGGGCCTGATGCTGGTTTCATGACTGGGATGCCTTCCTGTGATCCATTTCCCTCAGGAAGGGAAAGCCACAATCAAACTAGTCACCAGAAAAGGAATAATGCGTCCTTTGCTAATAACAGCTATATATGGAGGTAGAACTCAGGCAGAAAATTCCTACAATTATGACAGGCTATATTTGTGGTGTTGACCTAAGTCATAGGTATTTTTGTCCATAATTTTTTAAAAAAGTGATGTGGGAGACAAAAAAAAAAAAAGGACAAAGTTATTTCAAGTAGATTAAGCAATCTTTATCTCTTCATGTTTCTTTTGATGTATTTTTCAAAGGCACTGGTATCTTCAGTCAGAAATCTTTCTCTTAGCAATTTTAATGATTTGCACACTGGTAATGAATGCTGTTGCTGCCACTTTTTCTTTCCTGGGAAAAAAATTACTGTGAGAAGTTTCCCCTAAGAAGAAATGCTTTCATATTGGCTGGTTTTAGAGAAAGTTCAGACAGAAACCAGTTCTCTGGGACCTTCCAGTTGTGATGGAATAAAAGGGTCAACAGCTTGTAATCAAGATACAGGTCAGTTTCCTTGAATATCATCCTCAATTGTTAGTTTTCTTAAGAACCATCTAAAGAAGTTGTTAAAAAGAAGACAAGTTCCTAGGCTCCACTATTAGGTTTTGATTGAGTAGGTTGAGGGGAGGACCCAGAAATTTGCATTTTAACTGGCATTCTAAGTTGCCCTGATTTGGTGGTCCAGGACTGAAGTTTGGGAAACACTGGTAGTGAAGCCAGAATTAAACTTATGCTGGATGAGAGACAGGTGTACAGAAGTTTTCAAATTGGGGGTCATGACATTTTTAGGTGTGAAATAAAGAAGGTGGGTTGCGTACATCGTTAAAAAATAAGACACAAAGTAAAGACTCTATAAGATATATATTACCTAATGTATCCCATATAGCAAGGGTAAAGATAGTTTCATGAAATGTGTGTGTGTGTGTGTGTGTGTGTGTGTGTGTATCTGTTAGCTGCATGAAAAATGTAGCTGTTACTGTGGGTTTTACTAAAAAACATTTGAAAACCACTGGCATAGTAGATAGAAGTATGACTTTCAGTCTTTTTTAAAAATACATTTTTAATAATCCTCACCCAAAGATATGTTTATTGTTTTTTTTTAGAGAGAGAGAGAGAAATATCAGTGTGAGAGAAAAATACTGGCCAATTGCCTTCCCTTTGTGCCCTGACTGGGTTTGAACCAGCATCATTTTGGTGTGTGGAAGGACGCGCCAACAAACTGAGCCACCTGGCCAGGACGGCGTTCCATCTGTTTTTGATTTTGAGATCTAATTTGCGTAAGCTCTCTGAATCTCATTTTCTTTATCTATAAAGTTGAGTTAAAAATTTCTACTTTGCAATTTGGTGAGGATTAAACTCAGTGTATGTAATAGATCTACTAAGGTGTTTTTTTAATGGAATTGGTTCAAAAACTGGCAGATATAGGTGACCATGCATCAATGTCGGCAGAACAGCCCCATTATTTTATTTTTGGACAGTTTAGCAAATCTCTACTTTTTCATAATAAAAATTTTTTTTAAAAAACCTGTCTTCCTAGATATTGCCTCAACTTAATATTAGTGTCATGTTTTGATACCACATTAATTCATTTTTCTCTTTATGTTGCAGTTTTTCTCCAAAACGACTTATGGGAAATGCATCGAAGGGCCCAGTAATGATAATATGAGTAATATTTAGATTAAGCCCTTTAGTTATTCATGTGCGCAGGGAGGAGTTCATTCATTGCTATAAAACACTAGAAGATATATTTTCCTACAAAAATTAAAAATATAAGTCAAGTAAATTAATCTTTCCTGCAATAAATATCTATCTATATATATACTTCTACATCTGCATGCATTTCAATAATTTATAATCTTATATTTTAATCAACATAAAGTTAAAAATATGCATTGGCTTTCTGGATAGAACTGAATCTGACATCAATATATGAAAAACAAAAGTTAGGTCAAATTAATGGAAAAGTAGCTGGAGAATGATGATAAAAGCCCCATCTAAGCAAAGAATAGCCTAATGCAAAGACCTATAAAAACGTTCAATTTATTGCAGTATACACCAACTTTAGGGTTTGTGGTCAAGAGAAACTATGGATATGAAGACAGAAAACAGCATTGTAGTAACACTGAAAAGAATTTTAAATATTAGTAATTAAAATTATTTTTTACCAATTCCTCAGAGCTTAGGATAGTTCCCTAAAAGGAAAATAATAACACAAATCATTAGACAAATTTTAATATGTTTATGGCAAGATATGTATAACATAACTTAAAAAGTTAAGGAAGTTTTAAAAATTATAAAAATAGTTTTTTAAAATTTTTAACAAAACTTTAAATTGCCTTGTTATTTGCATCACAAAACTCTTGTCAGCACATGATATTGGACTGCTAACATTATCTGATGTCAGTTCTTCTGTATTTTAAAACTTATATATCTTCCATTATTAAGTACTAGATACAATTGGAATAAATTTGGAAAATGCAGAAATCAATAAAAAATATATAATCCCATCATGCAGAGTTTGATGTATATTTTTCAAGATGTTTTTCACACATTTATTTTTTTATGTAACAGAAGTCATGTCATTTATAGAATTTGTGTCTTATCTTTTAATACTATACAGCAATCATTTAACCATATTACTGATATATTTTAATAAGTAAGCTTTTGAATGGTCACAAAGTATATACTTTTATGTAGCAGTTTACTTGTGTTCCTTTCTTTGAAATTTAAGTTGCACCCAATATTCTTCAGAACTATAAATATTATTTTGATTAATATATTTGTAAATAAACCTTTGCTGTATTTCAGATTATTTCCTTGGGTTGTGTTCCCAGATGTGGAATTAAGAGTTGATAGGAATTTTATATTTGATTCTGCTTTTAGAAGGAAAAGCTGACAGCTGATGCTTATATTTGATCTTGACTTGGTAATTTTATCAGTTATTTCAATAATTACCTTTCACAAAAAAAAATAGGGAGTAGAGGAAGTGTTTGTATCATTTTTAGGGAAAAGGTATGTAGTTAATAAATAAATTAGAAATTAATAAATAAATCCCCAAATCATTACTCATTAGATCAACCCCATTAACTTCATTTTTCTTGACAGTGTGGTTACAGGATTGACTGCATATCTCACCTGTGACATTTACTGTGTGATTATAACTAAGTTACTGTATCTCCAGTTACCCATTTTTCACATCAGCAATAAAAATTTGCCTATAAAACATTGCTTTGAAGATTAAATGAGGTGGTAATAATAAGTAATAAAATACTTATAACAGTGTTCATTAAGTGTTCTCATTATTATCAATGTTCATACATGCTAAGTAAATAGGAAACTTGCAACTATCTGGTGAATTGAAGCAAGATTAAATATTTCACAGCAAGATGATTTAAAACAAAAATCATTACACAAATAATCTTACCTGGGCTCCAAGCTGTGCTACAATAAGTGGTAACATCTGAAAAAAAAATAGTGAAAAATTCAGTAAAAAAATATATTCAAAGGTAAGTTCTGATGGATGATATAAATATCAAAACTTGCTTAAAAAACACAATATTTTTAAAGCAAATACTTGTTACTGATGTGTCATCTGTAGTCATAAATATAGACTCATAGAACTGGATGGGAATCAGAATTCATCCACTTTGTAAAAAGAGGATTAGACCCAGGGAGATTCAGAAACCAGTTCAAGGCAGCCCACTGAAAAGGTAGAAGTTAGTAAATTGGATGACTGAAAAATAATTTTGGCCTTAAGCTACCTCCAAACTAAAAATTATTCCAAGAAATAATAATATAAAATGTGATAAAAAATGCATGTGTTTATATGTCATTTCAGAAGATACATTAAAACACAGTGGATATTTTAAAATACAAAAGTTTGAAAGTGAGCCACAGGGTGGTTAAGTAATTGGCCAGCATCACATAGGTAATCAGGGGAGAGCTGTGATTTGACCAGTTGTGTGATTTTAGAGGTCAACCACATTGGCCTCATTTTGATAAATGGACACTTTGGACAGGTGACCAAGTTCCTGGCAGAGGACCCTGGAAAGGCAGGGTCAGAGGGACTGGAGCCATAGAAGAAGGTCAGGTGTGACCATAGAAGAAGGTCAGGTGTGGAGATATTTGGTGGTGATAGAGCCCAGAGGCACTGAAGAACCTCCACTGAGAATGGGGACTGATTTATGTTACTGCACATTGGGGAGTGTGTAATGTTAAACCCTCTTGTCCACTGAAGTTTCAATAACATCTACAGTTACCACTAATGCATTTGACTGGAGTGGATATCTTTTGTGAATATGAAGATGTATTGAGTCTGACTTCAAGGTTAGAGCAGGGCAATAACTGAAACTGAAGTTGGGCAATTGGCATAAGGATTATGCCAGGATCATGTGTTAAAGGGATTCTCACTTTATTTGCCTGTCTCTCTAGTCTATTTCAGAGGATCACTTTTATTATTGAGATATAAATTAGCAGCAAATATGTTGAGTGAAGACTATAATATGTTTGTAAGAAATAAGTATAAGCATACATCTCAATATTAAAAAAGAAATGTAAAAGTTAGTTATGTGACAGAATTTCACAAATAGAAATTAATGAAGCAGTATAGAATGTCTTGTGTTGTTATTTTGGATAAAGCTATGAAAAAAATATTGGTTGCATATAATGTAAAATTTATATTAAGCAGCTTAAATTATTTTGTCAATTAAACTCTGTTTTGAATATAATTATTAATTAATGCAAGCTTACTCTTATTGAAACCTGGAGGTGTCCATAGTGGTAAGAAGATGGTTAGGATACATTGGACCATTGTTATATTCATGCTTCATAATTTGAGAATTTGTTTTTAAAGTCTTATATTTTTGTATGTACAAATTCTTTTGGACCTACAAATTCTTTTCCTAAGAACTGGACCTAATTGAATAATCATTGATATGGTTAAAAACTTATTTACTAGGATGTTCACTGTAGCATAATTTATAGAAGCAAAATTTTGAAAAAACCCCAAATTTTTGCAATGTAATGGAATACTAAACAATCATTAAGAACAATGATGTAAGTGAATATTTCAAAACACAAAAACCAGTCAATATTTATTAAGTGAAAAAATCATATTATACAACATTATATATCATAAGAACATATTTTCTTTAAAAAATGCACTTAACACATCATAGAAAAAAAGACAGGAAGCACATATCCTAGAATGTTAATAGTGTTTAATTCTGCTATTATGATTATATTGCCCCCCCCCCATGTTAAACTGAATTTTATGGGTGCTTCTTGCTTACCTGTATTTTCTAAATTACCTATAATTACCATATATGATGTATGTAATAAATAATAAAGCTTCTACAAAAAATTAGACCATTATATGGGGCTGAGATAACTTGTTAGGGAGGGTAACTTATCCATAATGACTTAGTCCCATTATAAAGGGATCATTAGATCTTTCTCCAGGGCCTAATAATCTACTTAAAGAAGTTTCAAAAGGTAAAAATTAGGGCTTTGTCCATGATTAAAAGTCAAAGAGTTCCCTAAGTGTTTGAAGCCCTAAGTATGTACTTTATTTCGTAATGTGAGAGGGCTTTCTAGGATTTTTCCTGAAAGCAAATGATGGTGGGAAATAGGAAAGAACTAGAAAGGGGGCCTGATAAATGAGTCCAAAAGAGAAAGATTAGATTTGCTGAATTTAGATTTTATTCACCTCTTCATTTTAATTTCGGATGATTCTGGCCACCCAGAAATTCTTCAATAGAAAACACAACATGCTGCTTGACTGGGGGTAGTGAGCACAGAACTCAGTGCACAGACGAGGTGTTGTAGAACTGTGCACCTGAAACCTCTAGGGTTTTGGTGGCTGTGTGACCCCAATAAATTCAATAAAATGGAAAAAAATGATACAAATAAAGAAAACACATCATGGTAGAGAAGAATCCTGCTACATCTCAATTTTCCCACTTATACTTTTGACTCTTCAGTCTTGCCCAGCTCTTCACATTTTTCTGTCACCCATTACAGATGTAGTCTAGAGAGATTATGGGGCTGCATGCTGCTCAGTTTTCCAGGTGTGTCCCCATGGGTTTTCAGCAAGAACCAAATTGTCGAAGACTGTTCCATGTTTTGTGGGACATCCCTCTGTAAATTATCTGGGTAAAATGTTTAAGAACCTTGAAAACATTCTTTGCTCCCCTTTAGGCTCCCATCTGAGAGAAAGTGCTCCCCAATGGCAAACTGAAGTCCCCTTCTAGAACTTACTTGTGGCTGCAGCTGCTGTTGTACATTTAACGCCCCCAGCGTCAGTGGGAGGGTCTGGGCAGCAGGTGCCATCCCTGAGGGAGGATTTAGCTGTAGAGCAAAAAAGGAGATTTTCATTGTGTTGTTTCAGTTTGAACATTCAGGAAGCTAACATGTATTTACTAAATGTAAAATATGTTTAAATAAAGAATTTGCTATGCAAATGTACAGTATACTACATTTCATTTAGAATAAGTTATAGAGATAGAGCTCACAGACTTGTTTAGTCTACCAGCAAAACCATATGTTGTCTAACTTTTTTCCATATGAAATTTTTCTTTGGCATTTAACTCATTTTTTTTTTTTGAGAACTACTTAGGATTTCATTCTGGCTTTTTGTTTTTGGCTATAACAGCAATGATTCTTGGAATTTCTCTGATGGTTTTCTTATGAAGAAATGATTCTTCATACGTGTCCCCATGAAAATTTTGGGGGTCAGAACAAAATATCTAGTTTGCACATGATCTACGACTGTATATTGTACAAATCTGATCACTGGATAAAAATCCACTTTAATCAAGAAAGGAACTTAAATTATATATATAGTTTAAATTACTATACTGATGTTCTATAAAAAATGAAAATCTTTCTATCCCTTCTGGTTGGCTTTTGTTGTTGAGGTGAAGATAGCGGCGATAGAGTTTTGGTGGTGTGTAGATGTTGTGAGAGGCAGAGAGGAAGGTCTGGTTAAGTACTGGGGAGAGGAACTTGGGTAAGAGGTGAGAAGAACTAAAAAGGAAAGACTTAAGAATTACAATTCTTTTACAGACTATTTTGCTCGTAAATAATTTCATGATATATTGAACAGCATTCAGCTCCCTGATGTTTCTGTCTTTTCTCTTTCAACTGATCTACAAGGAATATGTGTGTATGTGTACATTTGTGGATACACACATACACTGAATGTTTGATATTATGCTTAGTCAACCACGGATATTAAAATGATATAAGAGTACTTACCAGTTGCAGATCTGACCCCAGTGTGAGCATCTGTGTCAATGGTATTAGACTTAAAGAGTGGAAGACCTGTAGGGCATTGAAAATGATGAGACAGGAGGTTGTCTGTTTTCACTAACCTGCCAGTGGTGGATATCCTTAAGTAACTTATACCCCGCTCAGAGGTAAATTTGCTATGAACGTAAATGAAGGTGAAGCTTCAGGGCCTCTCACTTGTATTGCTCTGCTCTGTGGCCCTGGGAGGCAGCCTAGCAGTCTATCCAGTTTATGGTATTTATCAACTTAAAAATGTGTATTTCTTATTTCTCATCTCATTAAGAATTAATCACTTCAGTACTTAATTTTACAGATCTAATTTTGTATTCTTTTTCTTAAAGAGTATCCCCAAATTGTATAAGCTTCAGTTTCCCTAAAGGGAGGGATAGGCTTATGACTTGAGTATTCTATAATGTCCATAGATTTAAAAAAAGAACTTCAGACTCTGGTGTTACCTGATTGTTTCCCAAAGTCTAGATGAAGGTTAGGCGAGGGCTTTTAGAACAGAGAAAGTGTTGGAGTGGCAAGAAGGGTAATAGCTAAGAGACAATGCAGTTTTTAAAAGTATTTAAATATACTTTGAAGAAATAGACTTTACAGTGACACACTAGCTCATCAATAACAATGGAACTTGAAGATATCTGCAGTTATTTTTACAGATTACCACTTAATCCCTGTTAGTTCTGGTAAATACCACAGTGACATGGCATAGTATCACAAGGGCAGAGATAACCAAGCTTTGTCTACAGGTGTAGCCATTGCTTTTCAAAGTTTACTAGGTTTGGTTGATAAGGCAAATTATTATTCAGACAAAAGGAAAAAGAATGAGGACGCTTTGTTTTCTTGACTCAATTTTTTCAAAAAGGTGTATGGTCTCCATTTTGCTTTTTCCCCAAAAGGAAAGCCTCTTTCTCATTTAGTCATGCGACACTATGTAAATTTTGATTTTAAATTCACTAGCCTTACCTTGTGTCCTTCACTTGTCTGCAAATATTCCTTCTTGGAGGACTCTTACCTGATTTGGCTGCTGTTGACTTAGTAGGGTTGTTTGATCTGGAACCAGCTGTGTTGGAGGAAGTCCCAAAGCAGGGGTGAGCTGCATCTGTGATAAATATTTGATGAGTCAGGGATGTACTTGAGGTTTTGAATCCATTTATTTCCGGGATGTAACAAGTTGTCTTAAAGGCAAAAATGTCTGCCTTTAAGCTCTGTGTATTTGGAGAAGTTTTAATTTCCCAGAACATTTTATGCACAACAGGAGGTAGAATTGTAGAGTGGAAAAATTGTAGAGAGGAGGTGAGCGGTGTGGGGAAGGAGACAACGAGAGGCAGGACACAGGGATTTCTAGCTTCCCATTTCTGTCCTGTAACTGCCTTCTTTTTTTAATCAGGACATGAAGTACATAGTCTTCCCCTTAGCTCTGTCCACCTCTGTTTTTTCCCAGTGCTTGGAGGTATGTCACCACAACTCCCAGTGCATTTTCATGACGCTTTCTGCTTTTGACCTGGGCCTGACAAGTCACTTTCTGTAATGGAAGCCAAGTTCTTTTCCTGGCCAGAGTATATTCTTAGTACATTAAGAACCACTGAATTTAAGGGGTGAAAATGGGCTTGTGATTCATATATTATATGTGTATGGTTTTGTTTAAAGATAAGGAAACTGAGGCTCAGACAAGCAAAGTGACCTTCCCAAGGTGACATGGTGAGTGGCAGAGCCAGTACTAGGACCCGCAAGTGCTCTTGGTCCTTGAAGAAATGAGCCCTTCCTTAGCTTCTCGCAGCACTCCCTGTGCATTCAGTGGAAGCCCTGGCCCGGTTGACCCCAGTCAGCCTTTGCCTCTGGCTGCACCTCAGTGGGATGGGGTACGGCCTTTCCACATGTGCCCTTGGGCCACTTGGATATACCCTGGAGCTGCCACTAATTTTTGTTTTCACTTTGGACTTTCCCCCTCAGTTATAAGAGGTAAGATTGGCATTATCCATTCTTAGAGGTTCTTACAAGCTTTAAAATATGTAAGTATAAATTCTGCAAATTTCTTTTCATCCCTTATAATCTATTGTCAGCTTGGTAGCCAGAGCGGTCCTTTGAGAACAACAGTCTGCTCCTTTCAGTCCTCTGCTCAACCCCTCCGTTGACTTCTATTCTCACTCAGAGTAAAAGCCAGAGACCCTATACTGGCCTACAAGGTCCTCGTGCCCTGGGTCCCCGGTGCTGTCTCTGCAACAGCTAAGGCCCACCTGCCTCAGAGCCTCACTTGCACCTGTTCCCTGTCTGGAAAGCTCTTTCCCTAGACATTTGCTCACTCACTCCCTCACCTGCTTCAAGTCTTTGCTTGAGTTCACGTTCTTATTGAGGCCCACTGTCCTGAATGTGCAACGTGCCCCATCTCCAATTCCCAAACATGACCTACTAAAAACAAGTGCTAGGCTGTTTTAAGTGTCCACATTTGCAAATTGATTCATTTTTATGCTTTTATGATAATTCAGTAAATTAACTTACAAATAATAACAAATCACATCCATGTGCCCTGATTTTTCGGTTGATAAATACCACTACCTAATAGCCAGCTCGGTGTTCCTGCCCCGCTCCTGCCGCCGCATCCCCTGCACCATGTCTCCCTAGCTGCTCTCACATTATTGACTATTAGCAGCCTGCATTGATCTGCACACTACTCCTCATTCTACACTGAATGAGAGCTGTGCTCCTGGAAATTTTATTTCTCCTCAGTTTTTATAAAGCGTGTGGTAACTTAAATACATGAGAGAAACTGTTTAGGAGAACTTTTCAGTAATTTTATTTGGTGAAGTGAAAAATCCATGTTTTCAAAAAAAAATTAACTTCCTAATTTACCTTGCTTAGAAATTGAATTTGTGCAAGATAACTTCTTTCAAGGATATATGTATCATTTGGAATGAAATAAGGTTTGTTCATGTCTATTCCATCCTTTTCCTACAAGATCACCCTCCTCAACTCCTGACTAATCATAATTATAATTTATCATTTGACATTTATTTCAAAAATTATTTATTATTTACTAATGCTGTGCTAGTGAACACCATGAAGAATCATGCCCTCTTCTTTTTTCCTCATCACTGTATTTTCAGTGACTAGCACAATGTCTGGTTTATAGAGAGTTTCCAGTAAATGTTTGTTGATTGTATGGATGACTACGGAAGTGTCAAGTGGGCCTGAAGCTCATCTAGAATGTTTTCTTTGTGCTCTGCTACTTCATAGCAAATGGAGTTTAATTATTTTCTCAATGTCCACACTTAAGCATATCGAATAGTCAGAGGGAAGTCCACTTAGAGGCCCAACCTATCTCTGTGTCTATAAGATATTGGAGGATAATTGGAGTATATATTGAAATGCAAGTGCTCAATTTTTTCAAAGACCTGTCATGTGTAAACACATTTTGTGATGAAATGTTGTAAGTCAAAAGTTACAAAAAAGTCTGTAATATTTCTTTGCAGTTGCATGATTTGGTAGTCTTTTTAGGGGTTAGATAATCTAGATGTTTTGTACTTCCAATTAGAAAAATCAGAAAATCTAGTTTACTTCTTTAGTCATGAGAAAAATATTAGTTGTCAACATTAAATTCTTTTTGGAAAGTAAAACCATTATTTAATTGAGTAGTTACAATCCAAGGCATTCTTTTTTTCTCTTAATTTCCACCCATCTGCTCTGCCAAAATAGTAGAAGTTCTATCACAACAGAATGGATGCATTTAAAAAAATGTAAGTACATTAAAATATGTACTAATACTTTGTTAATTTATCACTTGTCACCTTGGAAAATAAAAACTGAAAACTAAGGGAAAGGGTCAGAACAGAGCAGTTTTAACAGAGGGCAGGAACAACAGTAGGTCTGCAATTAAGATGCTGTGAAGGCTGGTTTGTACATACAATAAACATATTGCACTTACTGGTAATGACTGAGTTGATCCCAGAAGACAAAACAGTAGAATCATAGTCTTCATGTTTCAAATTGCTACCTATGAGAACAGAATAGTATTATTCTTTCACTCCTTTTCTTTTTCATTTTTGGGAAGATGATACTTAAAAAAAAAAAAAAGAATGTTCTATTTGAAACATGCTCAATTAATGTTACCTTTTTCTCCACTAGGCAAAGTGTACAGGTGAAACAGTCTTCAAAGTCCAGTTGATTGTTCCAGTTCTTGTGGAGAAAATTGTACCCTTTGATGAGCTGTGAGTTTGTAGAAGGGATTTAAACTGAACTCCAGGAGGCTGGCAATGGAAAGACCAATCAGGACTCAGCTGTGAAATCATTTGGTTTCTTCCATTTCCCAACACTTCATTAGGTGAGTTATTAGCTGCAGACATTGTATTACCCAATGTCTACCATTTGAATAGAGGGTATTTCAGGAAGACATGTCTTGTGTAATTGAAAAGTAAACAGACAATTAAAAACATTAAATCCTTCTTTATGTTCATTTCCTTCCCAAATGACTTTCCAGATGTACTTGTTTTATCATGTATATATAGACATATTAATCAAGCATCAAAATATACCTGTATGTTAAAAAATGGGGTCTATTATGCATATTTCTCTGCAAGTTACTTTGTTTACTTGACAATGAACAATTTTATGTGCCTGTACATGTAGATTTATTTCATTTATTTAATGGTTAATTATATTATATTACATTTCCTTTTGGTGGCTATTTAATCCATTTCCATTTTATTTTATAATTATAGAAGTGGCACAATGAATATTCTTACACTTTTTTCATACATGTGGGAGTATTTCTGTAGGTATTATTTCTAGAAGTACTGTATTAAGGATATATATTTTAAAATTCAATAAATATGAGAGGAAAAACACTGGTTAACAAGTAATTATATGCTTTATAAGTTCCAATACAAAAAGTATACACAGGCATAAAGGGACTGTGATGAATTTTGCTGGGGTCAAAAGGGTAGAGAAAGCTTATAGAAGAAGTGACATTTGACCTGGATTTTGAAGAATACAAAAAAAACTTCCTTAAAAACTCAAGGAGAGCATCCAGGCAGACTAAGTGCCTAGATATGATGAGTGAATTTATTGTTCCCTATTATTATTGGGACAAAATGGGGTGAGGGTAGCAGTGGAAGACAGAGTTAGAGAGAGATCATTTTAATCTCCTGTAGTATCTTTGTTTGTTTCTATTACTCTTTTTGGGTCTTGATCAGACATTATTTTTATAGATCCTTCATTATTTTCCTATTGTATGTTTTCCTTGAACTCCATGGGGAGTTCCTGGGGTCTTGTCTTATATTTCTTCTGTGTCTTCTATGTTAATAACATTAACATTGCGAAGCACCAGATAGTCTCAACATATTGAATAAATTGCAGAGGTTTACACTGTAGGGAGTTGAGTTGAAAAAAGGCTTCAGAGAAGAGATGGGGCTTTAAGTGGATTTGGAGACTAAATATGATTGACAGCACAAAAAACAGCATGATGAAGGGATGAATATTGAGAGGAGCAATGGAACAAAGTGCTGAAGAATGTGGAAGGGCAGCAACTGGCTTTCATAGACACACATAGTCATTCATTCTTTTATTCAGTCAGTTCATTCTTCCCACCCATCCTTTAGCACATATTCACTCTATGTACTGTTAGCATTGTTTTGGTCAATGAGAATAAAACAGTGAATGAAAAGGACAAAGATCCCTGCACTCATGGAGCTTACATTACGGTAGGGAGAACATTAAATATTCAAGCCTCACTGTGCGGGAGGAAGCCTATGACTCTGGGGAGCCCACTCTAGGCATTATTTTTAATCAATGTATAGGAGGAGGGCCTTCCTTAATTTGTTTTTCTTTTTGGTTGATAGAGAATTGAATTTCAGGCCACTGTTGTTCCTGGGCTTAGGTGAGGAGATGCGTTCTATCACCAGCCTAGAGTAAAGTGCTAGTGAATAGCCCATTTGAACTGAATCACTGTTTGTGACCGTCTCGGTTTCAGATAATTCAGGGACCGTGTGCGTGGATTGCCTGTTGCAGACATGCTTTCAACCCCAAGTTGGAATGGGACACACCCTTTCTCAGAAACTGAGCAGGCAGTGCGATAGGACCAAAATAAACAAGGGAAACTAAGAAGTCTGAGTAATTTCTTAGACAAGAAATTTTAAGTCCGAAAGCAGATTAACTTGCAATGATATAATTATGGAGTTGGGTGTCAAGAAATACGTACTATACAAGGGAAAAAATTCCTAAATCATTCTAAAACTAAGAGACATCAGCAAAAACAGTGAAGTAATTTATTTTTCTGAAATGACTTAGGGTCTCAGGATTCATTAAAGTGTTTTATGAACTATAGGTGAGATCACTTAGCTCTGTAAGTCTAGACATTTCTTGATCTTTCACATTGGTTTTACTTTTAAGTTTCTTTGGGTTATGCACCTTTTCGAGAATCTGGTTGAATCTATACATCATCTCCTCAGAAAAATGCACACATGTCCGTAAACATAATGTGTATTAGACAACTTCGGGAATTTCATAGATTGTAGTAACATTATACTCTGTTTATGTAGAAAAATTCCAATTCAATGTTAAAAGTGCATACATATAGATTAGAAAATAAGGTTGGATGTAGGTGATGTTTCAGGTTGGGAAAGGATGTCTTGCAAATGATAACAAATGAGGATGCTGAGGGGAGGGATAGGAGATGCAGTACTAGTGAAAAGGATTAATTAATTATTTTAGTGTATGGATGATGGGTGATGGTTTAGATAAGGTTCTGAGGTGCTGTTGGGAATATGTGTAGTTTCAGAGTTAATGTAATACTGCCAGTTGGGTAGTTACTTTCAGATTTTTAGAAGTTACTGGAAAATGTGTTGTTTCAAAGTCAAATGAAAGGTCAGTATATGACTCTGAGTTGCCATAAGGAGATTCTGTGTTTCAAAGTTAAACTCAGAGTCAGTGCAAGGCTGGGTGCCATCCTAGGGAGAGGCTTTTGTTTCAAAGTAATACACATAGGGACCAGCTCCTAGGCTGTTGTAGTGTGGAGCGGTGTGTTTCATGGTTATAGCAGATGCCAGTGTGGGAACTACAGCTGGAATTGCAGGTGCAGTGGTCGCAGTGGTAGTAGTGGTAGACGTGGCGGTAGCAGGGGCTGTGACAGTTATAGTGGTGGTTTGTGTTCGAGGGTTAGGGTTTAAAAGTGACAATATCTGAGTGTGGGTTTTGCCTAGAGGAGCAGAAAAGGAACAAATTAATTTTGATTAGGTTGGGTTTGTTCAGATCTTATTGATAAGTGGATTTGGACGAAATTGGTGTGATCAGATATTTTCGAAGTGGCTTTGGACAAGATATTGGACAAAATCAGACAGGAATTTTTTTTATGAGTAGCAACTTTTAGAAAATATTTTGATAGATGAGACTTTGATTGACTATGGAGTTTTCTATGAATTTTTGGAGAGCAAGTCCCTGAGTGAATAGTTTTTTTAAGAGGAATTTTGGATGGAACAAATCTTGGCTTAATAGCTGCTCATAGATGATTATATGGAAATGCAACCCCCAATGAAATAAATTTTTTTTGGGGGGGTATATATTTTAGATGGCTTGGCTCTTCGTTTATTAGTTATTCTTGAATGGTGTTCTTAACTGAACATCCATTTTTTGGCTAGCTTTGGACAGGGAAGTGTCTTTCTGATAAGTTAGTTTTAAATGAGTTTGATAGAGTCAGCTGTTTTTAGAAGAATTTTGGATGATGCAGCTGTTTGTATATTGCTTTGATTCAGACAAGTTTGTGGTAGCTCCTTGCTGAATAGCTTCTTTGGACGGGAGAATGCCTGAGGAGAATGCCTCAGATCATCCTGTCTGATGAATTTGTGTAGAGCTAGGTTCTAGCTGAACAGTTGCTGTTGGTGATCTTTGGACAAAGAAACTTTTTTCTGACAAGCTGATTTCAGCTAAGTTTGGATAGGACTAGATCTTGAGCAAACAGTTGTTTTGGGATGAGTTTGGGATGAGGCAGTTCTTTGTTGATTAATTGGTCCTTCATAAACTTGTGTCAAGCCAAATCTTGGCTGAACAATTATTTCTGGATGAATTTATGAGGGTTCTTTGCTCCTTAGCTGGTTTTGAAATAACTTTTTAAAAAAATTCAGGTATAATTGACACTGTGTAAGTTTTAGATGTGCAACATATTGATTTGATATATTTATATTGCAATATGATTGTTGTTGTAGTATTGGCTAACACTTCTATCACATCACATAATTAGGAAGAATTTGAATTTGATCATACTTTTATTGATATAAAGTTGGCCTGAAAATAGGTGACTCAGCCTTTGTTCTTTGTTTAGTTCTAGCTTTTCTTTGCTGAGTATCACAGGATTGATTAGAAAGAATGATAAGCATAAAAAACCATCACTGAATTTTGGAAGAGAAACAAGTGGATGAACTGATGGCAGTGTTTTAATTTGACCCTCAAAAGGAAGCATAAGCTAGGTCTTATTTGTCTATATAATTTAGATGTATGAGTTTCTTGACTGTAGACCTCTGGTTAAGTGTTCCAGACAACTTCCGATTGTGTTTTTAAATCATGATATGTCAAGAAGGTGCTGAAGCATGAATTGTTGACTTCTTGATCAACTGTCAAGGCTAGATAGTTAATGTTAATTGGAGTGGGAACCTGTTGAGGTGGGGTGGGGAGGAATTTTTAGTGGCTAGTTTCATAATGGTACCTCTCCCTTTACCCTAAGTCCAATTGCATTCTAGTCTCAGAGCTAATTGATTACTTAAACAAATATCTATTAGGAATTTGCCAATTTTTCAGACACTATGCTAGATGGTGGGGGATTGAGCTCGTAGGCTGTCAATTTGCTATCTCTAATATAAAATGGGAATAGATGATGCCTAAGATTTAGTCACGCCGAAGGCCAATGACTTGAAGTGTGGATGGAGGTGGAGAAGTTAGTACAAGAGATTGAGAAGGAGCAGCACCTCCAAGAAAAACTTGGGTGGTTTTATACAAGGCAAAGTAAGAGAGTTGTTCAAGAATGACCAAATTATTAAATTATAGAAAGTTGCTAAGAGGTTTAGTTCAATAATGACTAAAATATGTCCATTTAAATTAGCACCAAGTAGGTCATTGGTGAACTGAGGAATTACCTTGGTGAACTGAATACAATGAGAAATGAATGGAAGGTTAAGAAGTGGATACTGAATGTTATGATGT